GTTCCCTGTTCCCTGTTCCCTGTTCCCTGTTTTAAAGACAGCCGTGCTGTTGTCCTTCCTTTGATATTTTATACCGTGAGAGGTCAGTTGGTTTGTTTACTTGGCTGACCGCCAAGAGATATTACGCCGGTTACGTAACACCCTCAAAAATCACAATGTGGTATTTATTTCACTAAAACTACTCGACAAAAACCATTATGAACTCCACAAATAACCAATTTGCAGCTAATACGACTACCAACCTTGTGTTGGCTGGAACGACGTGTGTTCTTTCTATGCTTGGAACGATCTTCATCATCGTCACGTACGCCAAATGGGTTACCATCCAGACAGCGTCTCGTAAAATTCTCCTTTACATCTCGGTGTCCGACTTCTTCCTGGCTTTGGGGAACTTTGTAGGCATTTTCGTAAAGTGTGAAATCATTTGTCTAGTTCAGAGTATTGTAGTAACCTTCTCTTCTCTCTCCTCGTTTTTTTGGACTGTTTTTATGGCAGTATATCTATACTATGGATGTTCACGAAGGAAAGTTATCACACGCGAGACACTCTTTTGTATTTTCTACATCATTGGTTGGGGAGTACCTTTTCTTATTACAGCTATAGCAGCTTGGACGGCTAAGCTGGGGTATGACGCTGATATTGTGACTTCTGGTTGGTGCTGGGTCAGTGTAGAGTTGAGCTGGAATGAGATGATCATTTGGATGCTAATAACTGGAAAGTTCTGGGAGATTCTGGCGTATTTTATCATCACTGTGATGTACATTTTGATCAAGAAGGCTGTCAGGCGTCAGGTAGGAACGGCTAATAATTTACTGACTAAAAGAGAAGAAAGTAAGGGAAGGAGAGAGTGATTTAGTGAGAAAGAGGGATAGTCGAAATCGAAGCAAACCTTCATATTTGCATCTTTATTTTTACGCTTTCCCTTTTTTGGCCCACAGTGACCTCACCTTTACTAACTCAGTTCGACTCATTGTTTTCTATTTTGGTCATATAGATTACATATTAAAGCCCCTGTTTTCTCTAGCCATGTGTGAACTTTGGTAACCTTGCATGACCTAACTAGTTCCTATTAGGAATTCAAAATTTTGAAGGGAAAGATACGCGGTCCGAAATGAGAAAAGCATAACGCTAGAGAAAGAAAAAATACCCAAGGGAATAAATATAACATGTGGTCTAAAATGAAAAACATGCCCAAACTAACAGAAAGAAATGATACTCAAGGGAATGACACTTGCTCTGAAATGCGTAAACATTCATGGTTAAAATCTATTGTTAAAATTTATTTGTTAAAATGGTTGGCACATTAACATATTCTTCCACCTATTCTTTTATGTTGCTGTTGCTGTTGCAAAAGGTGGAGTCCAATAATGCCTTCCCAAATGAAATATTTTTTTATTTAAGACCTTTTTTTCTTCTCATCATTTCAATTTTTTCTTATCAAATTTTACTTTCCCAAAGTTTCGTGAACAAGGTTTGCTGGACGACAAGGAAGAAAAAGCCAAACGAATCGCAGAAATGAAGTTGATCGTCGTGCCACTTGTGTTCATTACTCTTCACATCTGGGGAACTGTTCGCTTCTTTATCTTTGAGAAAACTGGGCCAGCAGTTGAATTGCCCAACACTTCGTGGCTCCTCTATCTCCAGGTCAGTCGATTATCAAACTTTTACCATCAGTGGCGTAGCGAGAGTATCAGAGTTGAAGGGGCGAGCACGCGCGTTTTGGCGCGAAAACTCCCGAAAATTCAACAGGTAGCCCAACAAAATAGGAAAAGAAGGAAAAATTTTTATTCGATTTGAAACTTCACGGACCATCACTGAAACACATAAATGTTGTACAGTACAGCATACCGAGGCAATCCCTGGTCAACTGAGAATTCCACAATGGGGTATTAGCCATTCCATGGTCGGTGAAAAAAACGGCCGAGTTAGCATTGCAGTGCATTGTGGGCAGGTTTTAGGGGACAAAATGGACGCCATCTTGGAATTACGTTCCCTAAGAGTCCCGACATGCTAAGCAATTGCAATGCCAACTCGACCCAATTTTTTCCCCTCAACCTCGGAATGGCTAAATTGGCTATGCAATTCACACTCCACAGGTATTTCGCAAAACACATCACATACACAGGTAACCCAAACCCTGTACATATACTGAGTCACATTTTACTGAGAAAATATCTTGGATTTCAGGGCATTGGAGACAATGGTCAAGGCTTTGCTAACTTCCTAATTTTCTGTTTCTGTACGGAAAAAACGCAGGAGTTCCTCAAATCTTGCTGTAGAAAGTGTCTCTGCAGACGTCACCGTAAAAGAGGGCATAAGAATGTTCCAAAACAACAGGTAATCACGCCAAGTTCTTCTCGTGTTACAATTGAACCGAAAGTAAAGTATGACCCAACAGACTATGACTATGCAGACCTCGGCTAGTCTGGCCAGCTCTTTAGGAAAAATAACTATATTTAGGATCACCAGTCAAGGTTCGCTGTGGTCACAGCGCCAGTCTTGCTTCTCATATTTCGGTACCATAGCTGCGTCGTGCCAACGACACTAGAGTGATTTAGCATCAAGACGCGAACGTCAAAAGACGACGGCGCCAGCGCAATTTTCGTGTGCGCGCCGTCCTCAACGTGATTCGATTGACGTCCTCAACAGGACGCCATTTGCAGCATTTTTACGTTCTGCCGAGGACTCAACTACGCTGAGGACGGTGCGCGCACAAAAAATTACCCTCGCGTCGTCGTCTGTGACGTTCGCGTCTTGATGCTAAATCTCTCTACTGTCGCCGTATGACTTCCCAGAATAGATGCGGCTTCAGGGGTCGCTTTTAGGGTCAAGATAATATTTTTATTTCCAGTCCAGACCTGGATTCACTTTTCTCAGTAACTAATTAAAGGCGCCGTTTATATTCAGGTAGGGTGACCCTACTACGACTAACTCTTTTGTTTTTGCTGCCAACTGGCAAAGAAAACGAGTCCATAGAACTAGGACTACCTTACCTTCATGTAAATGGAATCGTTTTTGTTTCAAGCATGAAATCATCACGAACACGCGAGATAAAAACAAAACCGACCCGTCCCAGCTTTTAGTATTGACGACTTAAAACAAATCACACTCAAATACCTTACCTGACTTCACAGTCATTGATTTTAGCGGTTTCTGTGACTAGTTGGACCCGGAAATACGTCAAAAGATCCTATTCATGATATCGTTCAAACGAACTGGTCAAATAAACAAAATTAAGGATTCAATTTTATACAGAATTGTAACATCGAGTTTCGAGTGAGGCGGTGTATGAATCATTTTTTCAAATATTTCTATAGCGACATAAAAGGCTTCCAGGTTCAAAGGATTCTCGCCCATTTTACGCTTGGGATACCTGTGGCAATGAAATAGAGATTTGTCTCCACCACAATGAGAGAAGTACCTCCGCCACAGGTAGCCCATCAGGCGACTTTCTCACAGTTCTGCTGGAGGGATAATCAAAGCATCATCACTGAGACTCCTATCCAGGCCACCATTCATATCATCAAGAGACAATACCAAGGGGGTGGGGGTGCGGTTCGACAAATATTTTAGTTGTTTTGCTATGTTTCTTAATAGTTGGTTCTGTTCGTCAATCGCTGACTGCATTTCTTTGGCGCGTGATTTCTGCTCTGCTAGTTCAGCTTCCATCGACTTGACAATATCGTGTTCGCGTTCTCGTGGCTGGACCTTTTCAAAGGAGAAGCCGCTGCTTGAACCAAACGTTGAAAGCTTAACGCTGTAAAGCAATGAAAAATAGTTATATAGGCGATGATATTCTCGATTGGCCTTTTTGTGGCCGGATTCTCTCATAAATGTTTACAAACTACTTTTACAACCCAACATGGCTGTCATGTCTTTTGGAATTTCATTCTCTTGGGAATGTTTACAAATTACTTCTATCATACAACATGGCTGCCATGTCTTTTGGAATTTCATTCTCTTGKGAATATTGACAAACTACTTCTATCATCCAACATGGCTGCCATGTCTTTTGGAATTTCATTCTCTTGGGAATGTTTACAAACTACTTCTATCATCCAACATGGCTGCCATGTCTTATGACATTTCATTCTCTTGTGAATATTGACAAACTACTTCTATCATCCAACATGGCNCTATCATCCAACATGGCTGCCATGTCTTATGACATTTCATTCTCTTGTGAATATTGACAAACTACTTCTATCATCCAACATGGCTGCCATGTCTTTTGTCACTTCATTCTCTTGGGAATGTTTACAAACTACTTCTATCATCCAACATGGCTGCCATGACTTTTGTCACTTCATTCTCTTGGGAATGTTTACAAACTAGTTCTATCATACGACATGGCTGCCATGTCTTTTGTCACTTCATTCTCTTGGGAATGTTTACAAACTACTTCTATCATCCAACATGATTGGGATGCTCGTACGCCAAGAGTAAAGTCAAGACTTTCGTCGTTTTAATAAAAGTACTAAAAAGACTACTCACAAATTGAGAAAATTTCGCTTGTTTGGGTAGATGACTGTAATGGAATGATTTACGAAGTGCTGAAGTAGTTTAGGGTAGTAATGGTTATCAATGCTAGCAAGGTAGTTCACTTCCATTGCTTTACGCTTCATTTTAGCGTTCTTCTGAATGGAGTCAATATCTCCAACAGCTAAACCGATCTGAAGTCAAAATAATTTAACAAATTATTTGATTTATAATAATAACAATAATAATAATAATAATAATAATAATAATAATAATAGAGCGAAGACATTTAACCCGTGAAATAACAAATACTAGTCACGATGTGTAATAGTCAAATAGACACAAAAGAAAACAATGGAATTAGGGTCTASTAATGTGTATTAGTCTAATATCTATTGCACGGGTTTAATGACTTCACTCTAATAATAATAATTATTATAATTATAATTATAAGAATTATAATAACAATGATTAAAAATAAATAGCAAAAACCGAACATCTTTTTCCGCCATCTTGGTCTCTAAATAAAGACCCATACTTCCAACTGCCTTTCGTGCAGTAAACATATGTAGTAATATCTAGTAGAAACTCTAAATGCCTCGCCCTTTACCCATTTTCCCTACCAGGGTAGGGATGGTTGTGGTGGTGAGGGGGAAGGGGGGAGGGGGTGGGGAAGCTGTACAAAACTGCTTTCGGGATTTGGTCACCCTGTGTTTCTCTTCACACTTACCAACAGATTCATAAGAAGGACGGGCATGAAGAAGCAGAATATCAAAAGAATCAAAGCGGTAAATTGAGGAACAGGAACATAGGGAGCGCCGGTCACCGCATTTCTTTCATCTAGAGAATCAGTTATCAGGCCCTCAAAATCAATGTCTCCAATCATCATCATCGACGTCTTGATGAACGACCAATTGATCGTCCTGAACGATGTCTGTTGAAAAACAGGATTATGGCTGAGAGTGTATAAAAAATTAAGGACCTCGCTTATCCGAGCACYTACTACATCTATGACCTTGCTAATCCGACCGCTTAATCAGCTTTGACCTTGTATACCAACCGCCTGAACAGCTATAGCTGACTGCCTAAAATATCCAAGTCCCCGTTAATCCGAACACCTCATCTTTGACCTTGCGAATCCGACCGCTAAATCACCTTTGACCTCGTATTGCAATATCTTAATGCGCGTGCATAGGAATGTGCGCAATTGCACGTGAGCATGCAACATAGTTACCTGTTCTTTTAGCAAGGTATGAAACGTCAAAGCAAACGCGAAGATGAACAAGGAGAACACTGCCACCACCTTGGACATGGTGTTGAGGACCTCGATGAACATGGACACGTAAATACCGAACGTTCCGAATCGACGGAGGAATAGAATAAGATTGAAGTACATGAGGAGAGCAGCTATAGCTCCTACAGGCCATAGCGCGCCCGTCTTGATATACAGATTCGATCGGTACAGATATGGAATCACAAAGAGGAACGACGCAATGTAACTTGCACATTCCAAGTAGTTGCTAACGTGATAAAAGTATTTCAACCTCTGGGAATAAATCTGATAGACTTCCTTGACCGCGTTGAGAGAGATGAAGATGGTRATGACGATAGGAGTGGCGATATAGTAGCTGTCTCTATGGAAACTCTTCTTTTCCTCTGATTCGGTTTGGTTGTCAGACGGGTTATAGAACGTAGATGACATTCGCCTCTTGAGCAGAAAAAGGGTGAACAAGGTAATATAAATGATGTAAACAATCAGATTCATCCAAAATATTGGTCTCCCAAGGCAGTTCCATCTGAGTAGTAGGTAGGTCTCGGTCAGCGGATGCRATATCAAGTTCTCTCGCTCGCTGTCAATCATCGTCATCGGCGCGAAAAAATAAGAGTGTGAAGATGTTTTAATGACTGCATCAGAGTCGTTCTTATCTGAATGCAGAAGGCGGAAGTCAAACTCGATCCAGTACTCGGGATCTTTCGGGTCCAAGTCGGAATACTTCGTGCACTGATCCATTACAACTTCGGCAACGCTCGGCATGTTTTCAATGAGGTCCCTCATGGGATACCTGTGGTCTTGAGCCCGATGACGTAATACCTCGTACCACCTGTTTTCAAAATATTATAAACTKAAAATTAATATCTTGGTAGGGAAGGAGGGGAGGGGTAGAATATGGTGGTATGGGTCATGGACTTCTGAATTGTTTCAAAGGACGATGGGGGAGTGGGTGAGGTAATGAATGTATCGCAATACAAGGCTCACCCAGCGGGGGAGGGGTGTTACCACGCTTTTGAAATAATTTAACAGCTTCTTTAAGATCTCTGAACCAATCAAAAGCCACGAATCTAAAACCAATTAAAACCTCGAAAAGGTATTCAGCGAAATTAGTTTGTACAGTGACCCTGAAATTTACCTTGCACTCTTGACTATCTCCTTGGCAACCAAGTCCCTTCCATTTTCTACCGCSACGTCTAAGCACGTGCGTTTCTGTTCATTGCGCACGGATATATCCGCCATTTCTTTAATGAGCAAACGAACCGTTTCTACCTTTCCATTCTTCGAGGCAACRATAAGTGGCGTGTTCCCATCGCTGTCTTCCATGTCGATGATCTGCTTCGAGGAAGTAGTACTGCAGTTTAAGAGGGCATTCACTGTGTCCACGTGTCCTGAGCCAGCAGCATGGTGGAGAGCTGTCCAGCGGTTGCTGTCCTTTGACGTGATGTCAGCCCCCCTCCGTAAAAGATACTGGCAAATTTTGCTGCGGGCAAAACAAAACAAAAATTAATAATTGATCTACCATAAATCTCTCTAAACCCTCGAGAAAAAGGAAAGGAAAGACTTTCCCCTTTTCGGCGTTAAAGATGATGGTTAAAGACCTCGCCGGTGCTTATGGTATACGGGGGGGGGGGTTGATATTGGAGGCGCAATGTCTATAGTAGCATACTCAATCATAATCCTGGAATTTTAATAGACCTGTAGTAGCGCAGCCAATGAGAACGCATTATTTGTATTAGTTCAGTTTTATTGAGCGGTTTTCTTATGAGTGGGAAAAGATACTTCAAATTATATTAGGAGCATATTAGTATATTAACGTATCCGTATCTAAGAGTTGTGATTGGATGAAATACTGGAAGACAATGGGAAGCCATTTCAGTGTCTCGGCATCTCGTACAATGTACGTACAGCAAGACAGTGCTTTACATTTCCCATTCATACAAAAACCGCTCCATTATCTGAAGTTTGTTACTGACCGGTATCCTCCTATGGCCGCCTCGTGCAGGGGGGTAGTGTTGGTATCGTCTGTGTCGTTGATGTGGAAAGGAGCGGCGTCTACCAAAGCCTTGACGCATTCCATGCTGCCACTGGCTGCAGCCATGTGGAGAGGGGTCTTCCCAAATATATCTTTGGGGCTCGGGTTTGYGTGCTTACTCAAGAGGAGTTCCAGCATCTAAACTCAGAAAGGAACAGAGTGGTTTTTATAAACCCGTGCGAAACAAAGTGTACTAATTAGGATGTAATAGTCGGATAAACACGATAGAAAACAAAAGAATTAGAGTGTAATAGTACTACATAATTAGCTAAAGTGTCTTTCACGGGTTTACAATAACTACTCTACTGTGTTATGCAATAGACTATGGGCTTGGATGTAGTCTGCCTAGCATCTTTATAAACGGAGAAGGAGGATTGGGCTGGTAGGGAGGGTGGATGCATGTTTTTCTTTAGGACGGGGTGCATCATTCATGATCAGAACGTTCACAAACTCAACAATCAATAATGCAATAGATAACAGCTTATCTAGATGAGGGGAAGTGCGCACCTCCTGGGCTCCTCCCCTAGATCCGCCCCTGGAAAAAGCTTTCTTCCCCATTTGTTCTCTCATTCCAAATCTTCCTCGATGTATGAACCAGGTAAGCATTAGTTTTTCTCACCTTGAAGTTATTTGAATACGCGCAAAAATGAAGAGGAACGCGTAGATTTTTATCTCCTATCTCCAACGCCTCAGTTCCCATGGAGTCCAACAACAACAGCAGTACATCCATGTGTTTATTATGCACAGCCAAGTGAAAACTGGTCTGCAGAGACTCACTGCGAATGYTCGTATCCGCTCCACGCTCAATCAGTAATTTAACAGCCTCTACTCGTCCATTCACGACCGCGCAGAGGAATGGGGTGAGGCTCGAACCTTCACGTTGATCAACTGGAGAGCTTTTTTCGATAAGACTTTTGATGACGTCACAATGACCAAAGAGAGAAGCCCTGGGGAGAGTGAAATGAAAATTGAATATTAGTGACCCAAATATGGACCAAATGGAAAAAATTATACAATCAGGGTTCGTGCTACATTTTCGTTACAAAATTCAAGGACTTTTTAAGCACTTCTCAAGCACAAAAGTTCAATTTTAAAGGACAAAGTTTTTTGTATTGAAAAATGGTTTAAACATTGATTCAATGTTACAGTGCAGCTAATTCAGCCGGGGCCACTAGCTTAGATTTTTTTATTTTAATTTTTTTAGCTAGCTTAGATATATAGATCTTTAATTTACGCATTCTTACCAGAAGTACCCAGATATTCAGCTAGGCTATTTACGAAACGTTATCTCTTCAATCAATTCTAATCGTTATWTATTTCAAAAGGAAAGTTAGAAATAACATTAAGTTTGCATTAAATTCAAGGAGTATYCTAGGAGTTTTGGCGTTTTTCCCTATTTTCAAGAGCTTTTCAAGCGCCCTTAAARACGTGTTTTCAATTCAAGGACTTTTCAAGGATTTCAAGGAGTAGCACGAACCCTGYACAATATACAAATGAGTCTGTGGTCTTAAAAAAAAGCGGTATGCATCGAATCCCAAACTGGCGTATTCCACTATAAGGAGAAGAAGTTAACTTACAAGTGAATAGGTAGCCTCTGGAGTGCGTTCACTGCCGCAACATTCGCGCCATGGTTGATAAGTATCTCCACAATTTTACCCTGGCCTGCTTTTGCAGCCACATGTAAGGGGGTGTCAGAGGCCAAGTCATTTCTCGCATCTACGTCAGCCCCATGACGTAAGCAGACTTCCACCGTGGCTTCATGCCCTCTCTTGCATGCTAAGTGTAATGGGGTATTATCCTCAAAGTCGTAGGCGTTRATGAACTTCTTGAGGTCCACAGATTTACGTTTTCCTTGGAAGGAAATGAACTTTTCAATGATTTGATTAAACCTGGCGGAGTCTACAGTATCCCGTAACCCATCCCTAGTACCTCTCGGCCGGCTGCGCAGGTTAGGTACCAATTCCCTACAGGGTTCGTGCTGAGGTAACCACTTAAAATTCAAGGACTATCCAAGGTCAGCTAAATATGCCAAGGTTTTACACGGTGGTTGCACATTGCCGACTTTCAGATTTTCTAATCTTTCTGACTAGATCTTAGTCAGAACCATGCAAGTAATGATTAAAGCAACAATTCAAGGAGTTTTCAAGGAGTTTTGCTAAAATCATAAAATTCAAGAGCTTTTCAAGTGCCCTTGAAAACGTGAATTAAATTCAAGGAGTTTTCAAGGAGTTTAAGGAGTAGCACGAACCCTGTCCCTAAATGATCAGTGCACGACTCACCCGTTTCCATTAACATTTCCACAATCATTGCATGTCCACTTGCTGCTGCTGCATGCAGAGCATTCTTCCCCTCGGCATTGGTCRCCAAAATATTAGCACCATGCTCCAAGAAAAGCTCACAAAGCTTCAAATTACCACTGACACATGYCAAGTGGAATGCAGTCACACCACTGTTATCTGGAGCATTGACATCTGAGCGTTGGTCATCAAGTAGGGTCTTTGCAAAGTCATACCCGCCATGCCTGGCGGCGAAGTGTAGCGGTGTTGTCCCGTCTTTTGCCGTGGTGCTTGGATCAGCTCCACGAGACAATAATACCTTGGTAGCCTCGATATTGCTATATCTGTAAAAATGAGAATGAATAAATGAATGGATGGATGGAAGGGAGGGAGGGAGAGGAGTTTCTCTACGAAACTAGAGTTGCTTAGTCCTGAGAGGAATTGTTCTGGGAAACAAAATAAAGAATTTTTTTTGGCATAAGAAAAGAAGGCCTATTGTTTTGTAACCAGAACAATTCCTCTAGGAAATCAATGCAAGGGGTCTATACTGTCATGTTTTTAGGAATGAAAATGGTTAAATGGATGGATGGATGGATGGATGGATGGATGGATGGGTGGATGGGTATGGGTGGATGGAGGGAGGGAGGGATGGATGGAGGGAGGGATGGATGGATGGAGGGATGGGTGGATGGATGGATTGATGGACGGGTGGGTGGGTGGATGGATGGATGGATGGATGGATGGATGGATGGATGGATGGATGGATGGATAGATGGATGGATGGATGGATGGATGGATGGATAGATTGGAATTGGAATTGGAATTGGAATTGGAATTGGAAAACTTTATTTACCCACGGTAATCATATCAAATAGTTACACAAATTATATAAAAATCTGTTCTACCTATAAGCCATGCATTAATTACATAAAAACTAAATAAGTTACACTCGATTGCAGAAACGTTGTAGTATACATTTATACATATATCTAATTTATTCAGTATATTTAATGATATGCAAAACAGAAAAATCGCTTTGTTTATCGTTTGTTTCATTCAATGACTGTCAAAATATTTTTTATTGTCTATTAGATCGTACAGATTATAAATCAGTCGGTTTTAAGCATTGAAAATGGTTATTTTGCATTATGCATCTCATTAGATATTTGTATAAATGTATACTACAACGTTTCTGCAATCGAGTGTATATATGAATAAACATCTATTTAAAAATACTAATGTCAGTGTTGTCAATGCTAAATCGATGATTTTAATAATAATAATAATAATAATAACAGTGTTTAAACAGGAGGCTCACATCACCAAGGTGTTTTTCAGAGAGCTTTTTATTTTCCTTTTAACAACATTGATAGAGGGTTCGCTTTCTAAGGCATCTGGGAGAGTGTTCCAGATTTTGGCTCCTGTATGAAGCAAAATGATGGATGGATGGAAGAGGGGGAGGGAGGGAGAAGGATTCTAAGAATATTTTTGGCCCTTTGCTAGTCAGTGAAAAAAAAAGATTACAGGTGTCATGCCACCAATCATTAGTCACATATATTAATCSGGTCTCTTTGGTGACCATCTTCCTCAATTCAAAAATGCTTACTGGGAGACCCCTTTTACACATTAATATATCACACATTTCAAAGCATGAAAAATGTTACTCTGGGAAACCAAATAATAGGATAGGAAAGATACTAAAACGACTTCCTAATTTTTTTGATCAATTTTGAATTACTGTTTTCTAAACCTAGAGTAACCTACATACGGAGTTCCTCGTGCATGGTACTTTGTCTTCTTTAAGTTGCTTCTAAAGAATCTTCTTTGTTTCATATTACCATTATTATGATATATATGTTAATATTGAGTACTGAAAATGATATATAGTGTGACAAAATTTTTTTTTATGTTGTTGAACTGCTGTGTTTTAAACTGGCATAGCAAGGGTTCTGATGTTGTCATAGTAACATCTTACGTCATTTTTNACTAAATAGCACAATTTCATGCAAATTCCATTGTTTTCTATTGTTTAATTAGCACTATTTTGTACAATTTAGTAATTAGTGTTTCACGGATTATTAATTGTTTGCACTCTATATTGTTTGCATTCTAAAATACAACTGTTTTGCTTAAAAAATAAATTATTTAACTATCTATTTTAATTTTTTATATATTTATTGGTATTTATTGGCATTTTTATATATTTATATATATATTATTTTAAAATTTCAATAACATATTGGATATCAAAATAATTTTGTTCAATAATTACGAAAAAATCCAAAAATATATTTGATTGCTTTATTATTACTAATATTATTATTATTGTTATTCTATAAATTATTATTATTAGTAGTAGTAGTAGCTAGTACGTAGTAGTAGTATTAAAGGATTTCCGTATAGTATAATAATAGAATACTCTTACTTACCTCACAGAGATGTGTAAAGGAGTTAGAAGATTATCACCCCCTTGAGCATTAACGTCTACACCAGTGTCTAACAAGAATTCAATAATTGGAATCTGGTTTGCTCGGACGGCATGGTGAATCGGGCAGAACTCATTRCAATCTCTTTCTTCCAAGCTTTCGCCACTTTCGTTTAAATCCATTAAGGTCTTTAACTGACCTTTTTTAGCAGCTTCGTGGGGTGAAAAACCTTCAGAGATCAAATCAAAGCGATGAAGACGTATGAAATCCGAAGGGAAGTTTGAGCGGGAATTTCGGTCTGGGCCTCGGATCTTGATCAATGGAGTACCAGCGCTATCATCCGTTTTGGGAGAAGAAGGTAAAAGTTGTTTCTTTGTGTCGTTGATCTCTGGATCTGACAAGGAAGAACCATTTGCAGCCATTCTTTGGACTGAGTTGTTTACTTCGTTCGATACAGTGAACTAGACGTTGCGGGCTATTTATCCCGAGAAAGTGTCACGCGTCACGCAACAAGTAATTTRTGCAGATGAAGCTGTGGAGCTGTTTTGAATAATACAGTCACAACTCAGAGATCACAAATGGAAGTAATKTAATTTATTATATTAAGAGACAATTTTGAATAAAACTTTAAATTTTTTTAAATGACCAATTTCCAATGGTCTGCCTGTATTGCTACTGGTTTGAAAAACCGCGCGAAATGACGCAAGCCAAAAAATGGCGGGAAAACGGTACATCAACTCAAGTTTYCCCGCGATTATTTTTGGCTTGCCGTAACACTTTCGGGTTCAATTAAAAACGTTTTTCCAGAAATTTTTTCATCTTTTCYTTCAAAAGTATTTGGCGGCTTCAATATCAAGATCATTGTAAGTAAAGGAAGAAATATAGATCAAATATTTTTTACAGTGAATCTAACCCTAGCGCCTGCGCGTGCGCTATCCCCGAAACAGGACATTTTACGAACTAGTGACAAGAAGACAMGAAGCTTCGAGCTTCTTGAAGGACTATTAAAAAAAGCCGGTAGATTTTCACTACTCATTCAATTGCTAACGAGAACAACGGCAATTGTACAAAGAGGAATGATTTATGAGTCTTTAGAAGTTAATGACTGTACGTGTTTTTAGAGCTTTTCTTTATGAATTTCTTTCMTCGATGTTCAGAGTTGGCACAAAAGAACGAAAAATTTGGCACTTAAAGTCTTACTAATAATATTCAAGGATATATCTCAAAGGTAAACTTTATTGTTTGACTAAGCACCATAGTTAGGGGTAAGGCGGATAACAGCCAAAGTAGTCCAGTAGGAGAGACATTGAACAGTTTGAACAGTTTATTGGAAGAACTTTACATCTAGAGTATTTGATTGAAACAACGACACATATGAAAATTAAGAGAATAAGAGGAAAAAAATTTTTTTCCCGCCAAGGGCACTTGATATTTTTCTCCTATTCTCTCTATTTCATTACACACACCGAATGCATAATTTATTACTACTATACATATGAAAATGAAGTTAAACTCATGCATGTATATGGATTTATAATGAAAAACAGACAAACCCCTTGCACTATTATAAAATTCTCGATTTGCAGGTAAAAATAATATTCAYATATAGTGATTATAATAATTACATCTTTTGCCAGGGTAAGCTCGTCAGCATAAAGCTGTTATCAAAGAGCGCCGT